TACATTTTCTCCGACCTACCGATCAAGTTTAGTGATAGTATCACAATGTGCGTTGAGAGAGCCGAATACAATCCACCCGGATTCCAACCTTTTGCCTATCATCGGAATCATTCCACCGAATTTGCATAGACAAAACAGCATGGAGTTGAATGAGAGCTAAGGAGTGAATTTGCAAACGTCTGGTTGATAATCGTACCGAACGAATCTGTACAGCATGCGCTCCATAGATTTCATTAATTACATCGAAAGAAGGAAAATAATTTTACCACATCTAAAGACGGGAACGAGAATGCAAAAACATCGTTCGATGTGGATTGCCGCTGGCATTTACTATTTGAGCGGAATGCGCAGACAGTCTCTTAGCGAATCACCACATGCATCCATTGACATAGGTATTGAAGTTTATGGGCATTATACATCGTTGGCGAAAAGTAGACAGAGTTTACGCATTTCGTTGGATTTTCTGGTATCTCAGTTAATCAGATCCGAGGTGAGAGCTTAAGGTGTTGAATCCCAATGCATTTGCCAAGGAAGTTCATGATGTTAAATTTAGAAATGGCAGATGGCACATGATGATAGCAGAACTAAATGCTTTTACTTAACATCATTACGAAATCATCAGGTGTAATGCCATTTCTTTATGTAAGTTTCTTTCACGAATAATAGTAGTGAATTATTTAAACCCCTATTATCGCCTATTGAGCCGAAAACTATCCAGCGAAAATGCTTGATCGGAGCATAGACAAAAGAATCAGACTCCATTTTGAGCAGCATCTGAGAGACAGTTGATTCAAACACCCACAACGTTCGAGGTCGATTTGAGACACATGTAAACCGGGGCTGCCCCTTTTCAATGATAGTGAAACCGTGAACTAAGTTAGAAACGCTATGATCATGATATCAGCCTGAATCGTTCAACTGTCTTGTCACATTATAAATGCATCTCGTACGGTTAGTGATCGTTTACACACAAACTACAGCGCTGGCCAATTGTGACGCACCAAAATATGTCCTTTCTGGTCAAACTGAGTTTCATTATATTTATCAACTATATTAAAGCTTTAGGTATGGACAATATTTCACCAACGAGGGTGCATGGTATGCGATGAGCCTTGGAAGACTCACCAAAAAATTCATTTGTGGTGAGAGTTTCCTAAAAGGACTTATTCCATCAAATGAGAGAGTTTCTCACCCGTCGAGAATACTCATCTGGGCAGGGCTAAAGCATGATCAGCCTTATCGGTTGACACCAGTCAAAGGCATCATGAATACTGGAGAATTCCTCTCAGTGATGATGGAAAAGTTTCCAGAGTTTCATGAACAAAATCATCTAGAAAAGTTATCGTTTTCGGGATAACGCTCCGTGTCATATTTCACGAGAGGTTAGTAAATTTATCTGGTTAAGGAGACTGATTCACTGATTACTTACTTTTAGACTTCAGAAAAGATGTGTGACTCTAATGTCCAGTTCATGCAACATCCCCCTAATAGTCCGGATCTCAATGTGATTGAAAATCTGTTTTATGTTTTGAAGCGAAAGGTCAATGTGCTACCCATACGTTGGACACAAGTGCGTTACGCAATGGAGCACAAAATATAAAATGACTTCATAACAAAGTTGGTGGATTCGATGACGAGGAGACTCGAAAAAGTTCTAAATAACAAAGGGAGACCAATCGACTATTAGTGTACATAAACTTCACATCTTAACTATTATCAGTGTTAGTTTGTTGTGAGTAACAATTGTTTTATTCTCTTTAGTTAGCTCTTAACTCATCATGATCTAGGTCAACCACTACTGACGAAATGGAAATATCCGCTACATTCTGAACTATTCCATCTGCTGAGTATAAACGAGTCACGAAAACCAATGCTATAAAGACTCACCAAGTTTTGTTTATTATCATTTGAAAAAAAGTCGCTTCAGTATAAATACTGTTTCCTATACGAGCCCACAAGTGTTTCACAGGGACCCGTTGCTTCAGTTTCGATTAGACCTGTATTAGACTGATAGACATAGTGAGATGACGAATGTACAACTCCGGTTACTGATTTCCCTTTCTAACAAGTGAACGCTACAGTTGATGCAAACGCATATCAGTTTCAGATTGAAGGTTAGTCTTCCTGGTCGTCTAATACGAAAATCACGTGCAAATTGTTACTTACTTTTACTTTTATGAAACTGTCCCCTGCGTGGGAAAAAGTTGGATTCCTAAAGGTCTCTCATTCCAGCTAGCCACGAGCTGCGATCTGCGCCAAGGTCCGCGCACCGGGAAATCCAGTTAGTACGTCATTCATGCACTCCGAAAATCAACTATATACATCCAATTTTGTTGCACTAACCAATGTGTTTAGCTTGCCTTCGAGGAGATAATCTCAATTCAGATAAGTTGTCGTTGATAGACCGTATGTCGATATTAGGAAAATTATCTAAAAAAACTGGTTTAAATTATACAGAAATGCCGATAGTAAAACATTTTTATGACATGTGTCCAGATTGCACTCAATAGAACGTAATTCGTAGTAATTTTTCCAAATGGAATTGTGAATAACTTACACAGAAATTCAGTTTTTTTCCTTGTTCGGGTAAGTTGTTGAAAACACTTGAAGTACTGCTAATATTGTGCAAAAAATACAATAAGCAGGATTCCAACATCAACTGGCCTTTTGACTAAAGTAGAGCTTTATTTACCTAATCTCAAATATCTTTGTTTTAAAACGGTAGTCAAGAAAACTCCATTTAATTATTGTTTGCAAAGTGAGAAAATGGTGGAGCAGTTCGATTTTAGTTTTCATAGTTCCATTAAAAGTAAAATTTAACTCGTTATTTGTTTGGTAGTGAAATATAAATAATTGCTCCGCAATCAGTAGTCTCCGACCGTCTTCCTTATAACCACGATTCAGTTTAAATGTGCGAATACCAGTATGGTTGTTGCATGGAGTTGCACTATGATAGGTAGTATCGCGCTTCCATAATCTGTTGGCTTGCCTGTCCAAGGATGGCTCATTGAATATTTCGGTTTGGCTACAAAAAGAAAATATAATTTGTTGAGTAAGCAACCATGTAACATTAATATACTGTTGGAAATTACCGTAACTACGGAATTGTCGGTTTTTCACAGAAAATGCGAAAAGTGTATAGCGCAAATGAATCGTGTCCATCTCTCAAGCCGTTCACATTCAGATTAAGATATTTTGGTTGTGTACAAATATTCGCTCCAAGTACAAAATTGTGATCGGCCCCAAAAATTCTACAAGAAATCTACATAGTCTCATCATTATATATATTTTACATTTTCATAAACGCCTGAGTCGTACTGTGTGTCAAACAAATCACGGTACAATAACCTTTATAAATGGAAGTGCTTATGATTTTCTCTAGGTCATTATACTGCTACTTTGCCTAGTCCAAACAAGTGAATTTTGAGGAAGTTTACAACCGGACACTTCAGCTAGCCAAAGCTTAGNNGCAGCGGGGCGATGTAGCAAAGCTGCAATGCACTGGGGGCCGGGGTTAAGTTCATCGGATCACACACCCTTTGGACGGGGTCAAACATCCAAGATGCCTAGTAAAAATGGATGCCCAATTGAGCCGGTGATCACTATCACAACCAGGAAGGTATGGGTAGGTGTAGTTCACACACCTCTTTTTTAGTTTATAATCAGCTAACTCCCGTAGGTAAACTGCCCGGGGTTCACCGATCCGGTTATAGCCCCGAATATTGGATTTTCATCCTCCTACTTTGGTGGGTAACCATCTCCACCACTAGAAGGAAGTAAGCAGGGCTTCCTCGGCGGAAGCTATCTGAGGTGCTTGGTTGTATGATAGCATTTTGCAAGGTAGAAGTGACGGGTGACCAGCCACAACCAAAGACATCCACCCCAGCCATTCTGAGGCTTTCAGTTTCATTAGTAATTCAATGAGAAATAAAATAACATGTACAATAAAACAACACTGTGCCATTTATAAACCACAATATGCTAATAACTTAAACTACTGTGAACTGCACCACTCAGTAAGAGAAATGATGTACCTGCGAGGAAAAAGCCATGAAAATCCGCTTCAGCTTTTTCCAGACTAATATTAGCATTCATGTCTGACTTGGAAGCCAATGTATGTAAAGTGAATTATATTGAGAAAATATTAAATATGTAAGAATTGAGTTTTGAGCGAACCTTAGATTTGCTTTTTCTCGCCACCGAAGAGCAGCTGGATGAAAACTGATCGTGTAGAAAACCATGCACAGGACAGTGAATAGTTTTCCATTTGAAATAGCATCTGATGAGGCGATTTTTCTCGCACTCCTGTCGGAATTACATCGCATACAACTAACGACTGTTGATAAATGTCTTATGTAAAACTGAAAATTGATGGCAAATACTTGCATAGTTCAATGGATACATGGCAAACACATTTTGGAATAGGTTTTTTTCAGCACGTGGTTCTTCAAAGCAAACGAGAATAACCTGTCCCTTCGGAAACTTTGGTTACAGCTGAGATGATTTGGACTACGCATAGAGACACAATAAATTACTAGCATCTCTGTAATGAATCTGCTAAATTAATCAAATTTTATAATAGAGACAGCGCAAGCTTCATATTCATGCATCTGAATACAACTCATTTGCCGGATAGATTACTATCATAGAATGTCGGAAACCTACATCATAGGCTAATGAAAAATCACCTTTATCAGGCGATTTGGTGGGAAAATTAATACTTCTTGATAATCACAAACCGAAAGCATGGTATTTCATTGGAATTGGTTGAAAATATCGTGATACTCATGAAAATTTATTATTTGATCATTTAGTAGCGATGTATTACTCACCACTGAAAAATATCGCAGACCCCGTACACCTATCTTGTTTCTGCTGGAAGTCATAGGCAGTATCGATCCACTGACTTCACCGGGGATTGAAACCTCCACAGGAGAGGTGGGTATTCCGTAACTAATGTGTTATATGTTTGTTGACAAATTATTAACACCGTAAGCTTCCTGCGACACAATGTTCAACACAAAGCAAACCTATACTTTCGGTTTCTAAAATCGTATGCTAGCTTATCTGTTTGTAAGTCCCCTGATCAAACCCCTGTTTTCCTTGTCCCCAAGTTCAGATATGCCAATCGAACAGAAACATTTCTCACAGTGCTTGGTGCATTGTGCAGTGTGGCTGTCGGCGCCGGTGATCCGTTGTGTTTCTTCCTGTTCGGTGACATTGTGGACGATCTCAGTGTACCACAAACCGGATTTGCCCAGAACGTATATCGAACGGCCATCTGGTTCGCGGTGCTCGGTTTACTGGTACTAATTGTCGGATTCGTTCAAGTATTCTGTTTGCATTTGTCTGCCATCAAACAAACACAAAGGATCAGAAAGCTGTACTTTTTTGTAAGTGAACAGGATCTTCTCGCTGGCAGTTTATACTGATAACTGGTGCATTTGACGGAGTTTGTTCTAACGTTTTCACTTTTTTGAATCCTTTCGATAAGTACATGACACGATTTATGCCCCGGGACGATTTCTCTTCAGATCAACGGGTATTTGCTTCAGAAACAAAAGGCTGATGAATGGTAGCCAAATTATTTGAACAAGAGGGTAATTAGACGAAGAGACATCAAAGTAGAACCAGCGGAGTAGATACGTTTTTTGTTAGAACAGAGAAAACTTAAAGGTGTTAAATGAGACAGATCGTAATCTCTGATAAGATCCTGACTTGCTGTGCTCATCAACAAATCCATATGAGATAACCGTTTTACTAAAGCGTAATATATACGAATGCTTCTTGTGTCCTCCCGTAGTGTGCACCCAAGTATCAGTTATCTACGTACTATTTCCCCTTAAGACACGGTGTTCTGTTTATCTTGATGAATCTGTGAGGATTATATCCATATATTTAAATATATATATATTAATCTATCGGGTTTAAGGAGACCCTGAGGTTTTGTAAAAGTGAATAGTTTTTTCGTTTGTCTTTCAGGTCATTTCAAGTTCTGCGAAACTGATCCTGTTTTATCGTTGAGTCGCCAGCTTATCTTAAAATATAGGCAAATGAGAATGACGCTATCCCTACTTAGTCTGTTGACGTTCGGCCGTATGACCGATCCAAGTTCAGACTCTTGCACGTTACAACCATACCTCTCACCGTTTGTTGAAAGGTATGGTTCCTTCGATAAAGGGCCAAGAAAAACATTAAATTCGTCAAGTGCCAACCTATAGACGATAATCCAGCATTACGTCGGGAAAACATTTCCACCCATATTTTACAACAACAACATCGTTTTCATCATCTTGGTTTGGCCTCAAGAGGCCCATTGCCTTCACGTTCATGTTTCACCATTCTGCACATCTCTCGTGCACCTTATGGTACTTATTTGTTGGAGGCACCAGATCAGGAACATCTAAGTTTCTCAGTAATGCCTTGACTTCACACAACTGTCTATTGTCTGTAATTGCTATTTATTTATTGGATCCGTTCTCAAGAATGATGTTTTTCCGCATTCGCCACAAATTAAAATGATTCTTTTAGAATGTAAAATGACACCAACCCGTTTTCAGTTTCCCGAAAATAGGTGAGAACCGAACACCATTAACTCAAAAACTAATTGTATCAGACGCTCAAACCGTTTATTCCCAGTATGCTTGTTTCTCTTTGCATCGAGGAGCTTTTTAAGGGAATACGCAACAGTGTCAGACTGATGGAATATCGTGTTGTTTAGTTGACTGCTCGGTGAAACTATCAAAGTTACTCTATCCCATAGAATAATCTGGTGGCAGTGCGAGCAGACTACTGGACTTCCGCATGAAAATGAAACTTATAGGTATTTAGCATACGTCCGTTTTCGACGCTGATTGGATGTTTGTGAAAATGCTATCCATCGCTAATAAAGTTGAAAGCAGTTAAAAAGTGACCGATGGTAACAGTAATTACCGCAAGTGTTTTTTCCAATTTTAGCAGAGTTCAACCGTTAACGGCGTTGGAGTTGCACAATAACCTAATGAAGTGCTTTATAGCGTCCTTGCTTGAGAAGGATAGGAATAGTATTTCTCTTTGAACCAGTGTATACTTTGATATCAATTTTTTTGAATCCTTTTCAAAAATACCTGTATGCATTGATCCCTATCCCGCCTTCAAAATCAGGCTGTTTTGCGTCAAAATATTGCCTGGTTTGACACCCAGACATCGGGATCTTTAATCAGTCAGCTGTCTGAGAATATCGACAACATTGAGAAGGGGATTGGACACAAACTGGGCCTATTCATTCAATATTTATCCACATTCGTAGCAGGCATTGTGATTGGATTTATCAAAGGATGGAAGTTGTCCCTTGTGGCCTTGGCCACGCTGCCTTTAAACTTGATTGCATTCGGTATATTTGCGTTTGTCATGCAAAAGTTTTCAAAAATGGAGGCAGTAGCGTATGCTCAAGCTGGATCCATAGCCGGTGAGGTGCTTGCGGCTATCCGGACAGTTGTGGCCTTTGGTGGTGAGGAGCATGAACACAAAAGATATGTGAGCAAGTTGGGTGAAGCAGAAAAGGTTGGGATTAAAAAGTCTGCAACAATTGGATGTGGTAAGTTCGACTCTCTGGTTCATATTCGTCACATTTTCCGTGACGGACCTCTGCAAATCACTTCATCTGATAGATCAATCTCTCCTCGTATGTTCCACTTATCAGCTACTGGATTCTTGGGTTTTGTCATCTTCGCCTCATGTGCTCTTATCTTTTGGTATGGAATAAAGCTGACGGTTGAAGATAACTACCAAGTCGGAGCTGTGTTTATTGTGAGTCATTATTTATTGAGCAAAACATCATCAATTGTTTCTGTGTCACGTGACTGAAAGAAGTTTTCTTTTATGTACTCTGACAGTTTGAAAATACCTTTGAAGAAGTTAAACACATAGGTTTTTAAAAACAACAGCAGAGGTACACCTGTTCAATCCTAAACGATTAAATCATTTACTTTTAAACGAGAGTGAAGAGATATAACTTGTACAAGTACAGCTGTGACGTCCATGTTATTCGTTCGTTGCTCCTAGAACTCGCGTATCATTATGCGCAGTGTTAAAAAGGTATGTAAAATACAAGCAGTAGGACTAACCATCCGAATGACGATGTGCTTGTTCAATCAGACGCGTCGACGGTGTAGCTATAATATCTCTGAGTCGTATCAAAAACAGAAACACATTAATCACTTCACTGATCAAAACTGCGGCACGGCACATCCCGCATGTCGTCTGGTTAAAGGGTACAGCGTCAGCCCACACCACTGGAGGTAATCTTCATATGCTTTCCCAGTTAATGTGACACTAGCAGTCTCGGCTTGGGATGATTAGTAAATTTCAAACTATGCTTTCTCTGTTTTTTTAACCACATTGTTTGTCAGATATTTTTCAACCTCATTTTGGGCACGATTGCCCTGGGATCAGCTATGCCTAATCTGGAATTTTTTGCTATCGCTCGAGCCGCAGCCGTGCCCATATTTGAAACCATAGAACGGGTAAGTACGGCAGTGATTCGCTTTTTAATTGAAAGTGGCTGCCGGAACCATGGCGGTTGTTTATTTTTTCGAGGTTCACATCATCAGAGTGAATAATTTGACCATCGATTTAATAAATATCTTCCTACTTCCTTTTTTACTTAGTGAATATACAAATGTACAGCCGATATTCAGGAAGGGGGGACACGGCCATACAAAGGCTGCTTTGGAAGACGGGCGGCGGTGGAGCGGTTCGAACCCGGGATTCCCAGGTCACAAGTGGGTGACCTAACGGTTTAGCCACCACCGCCGATCGAATTAGATAGAAATTGGATTGTGACGGGTGCAGGTCGCCGCCTATTCAGCAATCATTAAAGATCAATACCAAACATTTATGTTGAAAACTAAAGTTTTCTGCTGTACGTCGAACTCCGTCTGCTGTATTTCGCACAGCTGGTCAGTTCCAATCGAGTTCACAAATGCTCCAACCACCGGGTTTCTTTTATTACACAATATTGTGTGATGAACAACAGAAGTAGTATATGCGATGGGCACGGGAACATACTGCTCATCCACCATACATGGCAACCTAAGACAGGCACGTTAAGTGGCTAAGTACTAAAGGCCCAACTGGGATAGGTGTGTGTGTGTGTGTGTGTGACAGCGAAGCTGCCTACAACTCAATTAGGAGGTTAGTAAAATCAGACCTCAAGGATCCAGTGCACGCCTACGACAATGACTTCTACCGTTTCATCAGCACAGTTACCATCATTATCGTTACCAAAACCAACATTGGCCCCAAAGTGTTTATTCGCGATACCAAATAAACATATTGGCACCATGAACTTTACCTCACGGCATTCAGTGTCAGCAGTTGAGAATAAGACCGATTCCACTGCTTGTCATTAAACGAAATCAATCTCCAGATTAGAAACGGAAGTAGAAAGATTTATTTGCTCACGAACAGCTCCATTATACAAATGTAAACGATAAACTTTAGTGCACCCGCAACAAGTTCAAGACAACTGTAGTTAATTTTCCTTTCGTTGGATCTTGTGGACCGATAAAGGTAACTGAATATGAATTATCGAATGATAATTCCATGAACGCTCGGTCATAAACACAAATCTTTTAACTGGAGTAGATTCAGTGAAGTATTTAGGAGTTACCATTGAGACAATCTTGAAGTGGACACCTCATAGTTACGACTGCATAAAAAACTTCATAAATTATCATTTCATCTTCCAAGACTTAGACAGTTCAACGTCAGACAAAACTCGTTTTTCTTTTTGCCTAATAATGCGTTTTTTCTACTCTTTTTATTGTTCCTTGATGATTTTCGCAAGACTACTTATGAAGGACTTCAGTCATGTGTCTTTTATACCCACTGGTGATCTATCTAAAAGTCTGTGTGACCTACACTTGCCCACATGTGAAACAGTTGCAAAGAATATCCTCTCTGATCCCACTCACCATTTACATGGAATTCTATCCAAATGCCAATCTCATTCATCAACTCGTTTTACGTATCGTTTATTACCCTCTCTCATTAACTTCTACAGATTCTACAGTTCTCTATCTCGCTGGAATCCCTGCAAACCGACAGTTCATTTCTTCTGAATTTCTCAGCAACCTTGGGGGTTATTTGGTTTACTCATATTATTATCTTCTTTTGATGAGATGATGTTCTTTTCCACTGATATCTGTCCATGCAAAAGTTTATACAAATACAAACTAAGGAATCTAATAGGATGATTGCTTATGATCGGGGTAACAGGCGATTCGGTCAACCATAGGATTAGCATATGACAAATTCTGGCAAAAGTCGAACACCAGCACATGAAATAAAACTGTATGGATTGCAGCAGTTCATCAGTACACAACTCCGTAGACTGATCCTATTTTACCGGCACTTCAAGGAGAATGATTTTACCAGGGCACATATCCTCTCATTGGGAAGTCGAAATATGCTCACTATTATGACTTGTCTGTTAACCCCCATAAAACTTTATTTTCTTATCAGATTCCACCAATTGACAAGGAAGCCGAAGGCATTCGGCTGCCAGAAGTGACTGGGGATATCGAGTTTCGCAATGTCTCCTTTGTTTACGAGTCACGTCCAGATGTCAAGGTGAGTACTGACTTCGGTGAGAACTTCACATGGTTTTAGACAGAACAATAGACATTTTTACCAAAGTCCCCAACGCACACCTGCATATTTACCGATTCATTTCTAAAGAATCACTGGAGGTTAACGCAACCAAATATGTTGAAAACCGGTTAAAGAGCAATTAATTCACCAAAAAATTCCGCTGTTCAATCCTAATCTTCTAATATCCGTAGGACGCATTGAATTGTTCTATCTCTACCTGGTTTCCTTGAGATTTCTGAACAATGCCTGCGCAAACTGCACAGAATCTTCTGACCGCTCACGACCGATTACACATTCTGTAAAAACCACACGCATCACTATCAGTACATAATCACAGGTCTCTGAACCACCACAAGGTAACGGGCAGATACTATGATTGAAAATTAGCTCGTGATCTATACAAACAGTCATGGCTGGAAAATTGGCAAAAGCTATGAAGCAAACGTTGCATAAGCAACAATAGGTCTGGGAATCGGCTGAGCTCAAGTAAAAATATAATCACCCACGAATAAGCAACTGATAATTACTATCTGGATCTATCACATTATGGAATTCTATCGATCATCACGAATTATTGCTTTGTTATAGTACCCATTCAAAGATACACGCTAAAAAAGCCATAGGACAATTAATTTTATGATTTCTAAAGAATTACTTTTTCACTATCCACTTATTTATCATTTGGTTGGGTTAATTACCTTACACCCTAAGGGTGACTGGACGATGGAAACAATCGACCCTAATCGATCACGGGCTACGGAAGTTGGAGTGACTGAACCAAACGCTTTTAAGCGCAGAGTCCATGGGTCAACTTCCTTACCCCGATTACCACGGCTATTGTGAGTGTGCGCAAGTGAGCACCCCTGCCTTTGGTGCAGGAAATAAGTTAAACAACTTGGAAAGCGACATCTGGATTTATTGGACGTATAGTGTCGATAAGTGGGCTGGGATTGAGCTGTTTATTGATCCGGTATGTCTTGGTCTTAACCACTGTGGATGCTCTTGAAGTCCAGTCAACTTCAACGGTAAATGTTTGGATCAAACCATTCGGTTTTTCACAGGCACTGTTCATGATCTTGGGCATGTATTTCACTCCTTGGGAGATAGTTAATTCCCCACTAATTGAATGCATTTAATTGCGATGGAAGTGTTTGAGGTAACCGACAAAGAACACCAAACAGCTTACTCGGGAGGTGGTGGCCCGGTGGTAACCTCACCAAATTATCACCTCGGGGAATGTGTGTTCGAACCCCACCACCATCGCCTGACTTCTCCCATGGCAGCCCTTTGATTGGCCGCTTCCCCGTTCCTGAAAATTGTATCATTTTGTGTTCAATAAAAAGGAAGTAAAACTTAATAAAAGAAAGAGAAAAAAGAAGTCTTCGTCAGCACTGCGTACATTTCCACCGCTTCTCAATGCATCCAAATAGTGGGGTATTACCGAGCTCCCAAAAAGGTAAACCCACTCCGAAGATCATGAACAAAGCCTGGCGCTGTTGGAAAACCTAATGGGCTAATCCAAACATTCACCGTCTGAATTGATTGAGCCATTCGCACAATGTGATAACCGTCGACCGTGTAGCTCAGGGGTAAGAGTTTGAAGTCCCAACCCGAAGGTTCGCGGTTCGAGTCCCGATAAGGACGCAAAACGTACGCAATGATGACACATCGCAACCAGCACGAAATGGCTATTTAGTGCTCTTTGTCGGTTATCACAAACATTTCTATCGAGTCAATTTAACCTATGCTTTATGCACCCAACAGGATGGATTTTTAGCAAATTTCACAAAGTTACGGCGAATAAAACGTAAAGCATTAAGAAAAACCACTAGACGTTTTCTAAATGAAAAAAATGAATGTGGTAAAATGCCAAGGTGACAGGTGATTTTCCAATTTACTAACGATAGTTGCTCGATTTAGTCAGATACAAGCGAAATAAGGAATTTGAAACACTGGGTACCCTTTATCTATCGTACCAAGACCGAAGGAAGACATTTGTCACGAGATGTTAACATTTCATTTAATATTCTCAATCGCTGACGTAAAACAAACAAGCACATTTATAGCACACTGGATTTGTAGATTCTAGTGAACGGACATGTACAATTAGACAGGAGCTATTCCAATTAAAAACAAGTCAACTACACGGCAAGGGAACTGACTGAATCCATAACGTTTAAACACACAAAACGGGATTATGTAATCGGATTAGCAATACCTCATTTATTGCAACACTTTTGCATCGCAGTTACGTAACAACTGTTTGAAAGAGGAAGCGGAATCAACTACGTATTGGTAGTCATGATGTGTTTTGCAATTGAGGACCCCCGATTACGTGTGACCGTCTGATTACTGGGCGTGGGTTGGATCATCGACTTCACCAAACACTGGAATGTGTTCGGCCATCCGTTGTGATAAGTGACAATTGGCTCTGTCTATGTATGCGTCACTGCAAATACGGGTGAACTGATATACGGTGTGTGAGACAGAACTGGCTTGTTAACCATGTACACGTTTGTCCAAATCGATTTCGCGAGTAGAGGCAATAAGCCGAAGTTACTTAGCTGCAAATGTGCGGCTGAGAGCTGACTTTAACTTTTTGCGCACATCGTTCAGAAGGTGACCGCCCTTAAAAGATAGTTTAATATAAACAGCTTTCTGGGGATTAGTTGTCGATTGGGTACATTTTAAGATTGTTTACTATGAAAATCAATGAATCTTTCGGTGCAACGGTTTGGTAGCAACGTTTTCTTGAGGAATTCTTCTTCATCTCGTAGTGTGTCTAGGGAACAGATCCTTCTGGCTTGATGGAGCAGAGTTTTACGTTTGTAAGCCATGTGTGAGAAGCTAGATAACTGTAGATACTGACCACTCTATGTTGCTTTTTTGTGGATAGAACGCTGTAAAGTGCAATCTAAGCGCCTCGTAATTCTAATATACGAAAATGCTAAAGAATCGTTGCTTTCTTCTTCATAGGATACGGACAGATGTGAGTGAACAGAGTTAAATTTTCACAAAAGGGATTCAAAATGTCCATGCTTCGTAAGAATTAAAATGGCGTCCAAATAAGGTCTGTACAAGATGGACTGGGAGATGTTATTCGCTTGATTTCGTTAAATCACTCTTAAAAATACAACAGCTACAATCGAGCCTAATAGGTTTCCCATGGCTACGCCATCAATCTGCTTGTATGTGGCTCTTTCGAACTCAAAAGGAATGTTTTTCGGTACATAAAAATATTATTTCCCTTAAGTTTTCACGAGGGGTAGCAAGGGAAAACTTACCTGAAGAAACATAATCACATAAAAAATCAACTATTTCATGGAGGGGAACATTGATGAAAAGGGAGCCCACATCTATCGAATACATCCGCTATAAAGTTATTGTCATTTTTTCTAAGTAGTTTGAGACTTCAAAAGAATCTTTTACACAATGGGGTGTTAAAGACTGACGAATGGGATTTAGAATTTCCACCAACCATCGAGCGAGTTTGTGATATGGCGATTTCTGCATACAAAATATTAGTCTGAGAGAAGTCCGGGGTTTATGAAATTTAGGCAAGCCTCTTATTTGTGGTGTTTCTGTCCCCCATTAGCTTCGGTTGTTTATACTGCGTTTCGGATTTGCACCCATGTAGTAACAGAATATGTAAGTTCCTTGCGATAAGGTTTTCAGTGATGTGGTTATTATCTGGTTTCTCTAATTCCATTATCCCCTGTCCAATTGTATACGTCATACACTAGGATTTACAAATCAAAGGGGCTAGAAATGTGCTTGAATAATAGATTCAACTTAATAGGTGCCAGATTGCAATCCAAAAAATATGTTGAATGAGAACTCCTCAGTCAAGTGATCCAAAGGCTTCGGCACAGTCAAGAAAGATTGAAGGAACGATGCCAGATCCATTATAGAATGACGATGAAACGAGGTTCACACTGTGAGGAACAGCATCAAGAGCGGGAAGCGAAGGTTTGTAAGCAAAAGGAATAGGGTCGGGAGCAACAGATAAAAGGGTCATCCGGTTTGAAATCCCTCTTTCGAACGTTTTCAATAATTCTGATGTGCAAACAATCGGGCGGTACTTGGTAGATCCCTTTTGGGGGTTGATGGGATGCGGGCAGCTCTCCAGTAATCAAGGATAGTTTGAGATGATGTGCACAAACTGAACGACTGACCTTGTTTTGCACACGCTTTCAACAAGACTAAAAACAGTAAATCAGGTCTTGTGCCTTGTACAATCGGAGGGAATTTAGCATCTTCAAAATTTACTGCGGGGTGACAGATTGGTTCTCTCCAGTAGACGCAAATGAAGGGGTTGTTGAGTTTAGTGCTGAGTCATTTGCAAATTGATGGTTCACCTCCTCAACGTCCGGAAAAAGAGCTAGTATGGGATCCACAGAGCTGATTCCAGGCACACCACACAGCACGGCAGTTCTTGTTTCACCATACATCCGGTTTAGGCGCAGTATTTCCATTTTGGTTAATAATGATCAATGTTTAACAGCAGTGCGCCTTCCAGTACTGTAGGATGTTTATTTATCACCACGAAGCCTTTCTGGAATAGACAAAAAGAAACTGTCAGTCCGAATTTATAAAGTCTCAACTGGGTAACAAAAATCATAGCAAAAAATTAAGATAACATGTACGATGCTCACAACCGGAAGAGTTGTCAGCATTGTAGAGACAGTAAAATCAGTAGAAGAAATTACATCTTTAAGTCTGGTCAAGTTATCAGGGGGAGCAACTTCTCCTTTTGATGATTCTGGAGATAAAACGGGTCATTTGGTGATGAAAATACCGTAAATTTTGGGATGTCAAAATAGAGGAATGGTCTGAGCTGCTTATGGGAGCCCGCTTTTCAACGAAAAATATTTTCTGGTTGCTTACAAACATCCCATCAATTTGGCTACCTAGTTGGGTAGGCAAATATACATTTGTCACGCTCGAGATTGCGAGGAAAGAGACATTAAAACGTCTAAAACCACTAATCACAATGCATACAAACTGATCTAAACCTGTTACAAGTTGTGAGGGGAAAGGGTCAACCAACAAACAAATGTCATGGACAAGCGTTTCAAAAGCATTTTAAGTGCTAGCTAGTGTAATATGATGAAAGCGACTGAAAAGTCTGGGCTTACAATAAAAAAAATTCCATTTATTTAGAAGCACTGAAGTGAAAAATTGATGAGCGTTTTTGCACCGTTATATTATTGACAAAAGTAACCACTTCGCCCCCTCTGTAAATGAAGTTCACATTGCAATCGCCTCGGAAGGTGTCAAATCGACCAAGATGCATGAAGCTGTCCTCAATGTCGAGATATAGCCAACTTTTCTAGAGTACAGTTACCGCTGCACTCTTACATTCCTCCTGGTGTACCATGCTCCGGACACCATCGAGTTTTCGTAAGCGCAACGCGCCAGCCAGCCAGCACGGTATTTACGGTGTCCTTGAACACCTTTTTACAATCGTTTGAAGCGATTTCTCACGAAATGGGCATAAGTCAGAAACTAATCTTTCAGCGCCATAAACTGCGAAGATTTCGAAATCGGGGCACTGTAAGATAGCATTTACCTTGGAAATTCAACGACTTCATTCACAAGTGATAACCAAAATAGATAATGGTCTTGCTTTTCGACCAATACAAGACGTGTCGCAAACGCATCGGAAAGAGTACACAACCGCAGAAGAGATCAGCATCAACATTTTATACTTGTTTTGAATGTGGCTCAAACAAGCACCTCGAAACAGACACTGTCATTTAGTAGCGTTGAAGGCCTTATTAATTTCTCTGCTCAGATGTCGGACCAGAATCTCGCTATGGGATCACTTTTAAGTGATGAACAAATCTTTCCTTCTCACAATTTGGTATTTGTTCAGTCAGATGCCTTTCGATTAAACGACCCGGACATCCATTCTAACGAAAAGTGTTGCTAATGAGTATTTATTCATTATCCAACATCTCCCCTGAACAGATTTCTTTCGCCCTGGTGGTCATGCATGTTACCATGTTTCTATTGGATGCTGACAAAACTATTGAGATTGATGTACTGGTCAATCTATGTCGGTTTTCGGCACACCTTTCATTCGATCCCCCTTATCTTCTATTCTGCCAAGAGACATCCTGAAACTATAGTTGGTTGTGCGTGTTGCTTTGTGCCCGAATGTTAAGTCACAATTAGCATGGGTCAATTATTACCAAAAAGATTTATCAAAATATGGAACGTCAACAATTGGATGAGTGGTTTCTGGATATCGGATTCCAGATCCGGAATGATCCACTAAGGGTTGAATTAGGGAGCGGGAACAGCAGTCGGTTGGGTAATTAAGAACATTGATTAGGAGACATTGCGTACCCGGGGTGCCAATTTGATTCCTTGTACCGGTGCTTAGACAATGGGGCACACCTTCCTGCCCTCGTTTTGGAGTAAACAACGAGCGACCAGGAAATTGCAGAAAAGTATACGAATTATGCAATAGAAATGTTTGTGATGACAAACAAAGAGCACTGGACAGCTGTTTCGTCCTATTTGGGACTCGTCAGCAATGCGTACTTTTTGTGTCCCTGTCAGGACTCGAAAATCAAGAGTACCTGGTGCCTCTCAATAAACGAATGGGTTAATCCAAGCTTACTACTCCATACGAATCATAGTTTGTTTGAAATGTTCATCGTTTGAGCCAAATTATGGATGATAAATGTGTAATGCAAAGGAAAAGCGCAGTAGAGTGCTCTTCACTTTTCCAGTTCACATCGTCTTTGACGTGTTTATAATGTACATCATTCTTTAGGCCTAAGAAAAGGTAGCAATCAAAGAAGTGATGGTAATTGAGTTACCCAATAAGCGGGTCCCTAATCATCTGATAAAATTAGAAACAAATATTTTGAACGTTCAAAACGTCTTACCATTTTCTGTATCTGGCATCTATTGACGAGGACATGCATTATCAAGTGTACACACTGGGGTACAAAAATGCACAGTCTATCGGAAGTGATTGCATAATCAACAATTGTGGTAAATTATGAAATCCGTTGGGAGAAATTTCGACGACACTGTTCCTATTTTCAATTGTGTAAATGTCATAGGGCTTGGTGGGGCTTGAACTTGCGCGAGAAGGCCCTTTGACGTCATGTAAAGGTTACTCTGCCTTCTGAACTAAGCCCTGTGGGTAATTAGAATGGTTTCACATTTTCAGTGCTTAAACCATTTGCACAGTTATGCGTAATTTGATCATCTATTACTTTACGGCTCCCAATACAGTAAGTGAAAGTTTTTATGATACATAACTCTCTTTTTTGGGCACGCTCCTTTGCAGATCCTAGAAAATTTCAACTTAAGAGTGAAGCCAGGACAAACAATTGCCTTCGTCGGTCCAAGCGGTTCGGGAAAAAGTACTGTGGTCCACATGCTACAAAGATTCTACGATCCAGCTGACGGTCAGGCAAGTGCATAGTCGAATTCTTTTTGTCCAGTCACGCGAGTGATGTGTTATTTTACCCGGCATCTCACTGACTTCTCGCCAATCATGCTTCTGCCACCTAAAAGACGCACAGTGAAGTTCGGGCATGTGTCTGAACATCACCCTTTGGATCGCAACAATTGCGAAATGGCACTCAAATAGTAGTTTATTTTGTTTCAAAATCTTTTCAGATACAACGGATTGATAAAGTTAATAGCACCAACGTCTTTATCTTTTGGTTTTCATTCTTCGTGGCTAAGACAAGCAAATTTCCTCAACGGAATGATTGCTTCAGATTTTCCAAAAGACCTTGGTCACAACAATAATCTCATTCTGACACTCCTAGACGCATCAAGTAAAACCGACAGTTTGTTTGGCAGGAATTCAGGCATTCGTAGTAGAATTTGTGTTTCTTTGATGTGTTTTGTTTGAGGAAAACAGCAGCGAACACTGTTTTCTCCCCGAGCTAATTCTGTCAGGGGAAGTTTAACCTTCCCCTGAGAATTTTCGCAGTTTCAATCTGAAATGGATTGTGATCTGCTGCCACTACGAGAACGCGTCGGCGTTTTCTCGTTGGTTCTGGATACCACCAAATACCCATAGGTCACCATAGGGAGTAATCTGCTGTGATCCTCTAATGTGCCAGCTGGTGTTGGTAAACTGCGTCGATATACGCAAGCTAACACAATTTATGGTGAAGCATACAACTGTGTTCTTTGGTTTATCAACGCATTTTTCCTGTCATACTTTGTTGTTCTACCGTCATCTTCCCTGGACTATTTAAAAATAATTTTATTACTCCTCTTCGCTGTTTGTCATCTACCAGTCGCGTTTCTCTTATTCCCTTAAACACTCTAATTACAAAATTGTGTGATGTTCAAATTACTTCTCGTGAAAATGTTGTCCATAAGATACTCATCGATTGCAGTCATCCGTTCAATCCCGATCCGTCTGCTATTCCTCCTCAAAGAACAATCCGATAAAATTATCACTGTTTACTCTCCCGCATGAACATCTATGGCAATTCAAATGTACCCTATCTGGCTTGTATTCTGACAGGATGAAGATCCCAAACGAAATAATTTTAAACATAACTTCCGAAAGTCACAATCATTTTGGTTAGCTATATCAAGTTGGGACCAGGCTAAGCAAAGTAACCGAACAAATGGCCTTAGAGAACACAGAGACGGAGTGAGTAGGTGAACGCCCACCACCTAAGCTATAACACAGTGTCGTTGACGAACAGCTTGAAATGGATTTGCTGCTAGATTTTGGGATTACTTTGAACTCGTCCTCCTTTACCTGACGGCCGTATCGGCAAGGTAATCTACCACTGCACTTGTAATAATTTTCCTTTTTTCGGTACACAACCATGCAGGCCTGTGCTTAATAATTAGTTGCGATAACTGTCTGATTGTTATTTTTTTTACATAACCTATCGAATATGAGCCAAGAGAGTGTTAAATTATTATAGATCTGGAGGGGGAGGTTACAATACATTTTTAAGATTTATGGAGGCGATCAGTCGGTTTATGAATTGCTCGTGTAACGTTACAGCAGGAAAAGCAGGGGTAATGGCCTTTTTCAATCGGCGTTTTAATAACTTAAACTCGTAATCTACTGAAATGGAAATTCTTAAAGTGATCTTACTCCGCATTGTTGTTAGTGGAGTTCTTGGAAAACTTTATGTCACATTCTCCAAACAGAAAATTGAACCTCGTAAGTAAGTAACAGTATGTGCTCCCGTGCATTCTAAGAAAGCCTTTGATTATTGCAGCTCATCAGCTCAGAGCAAGTGTGACACTGAATCACTGCATCACAGATTATCGGGAGGCATGTAAACGCTGTGACGCATTAGTAGTGTGTATCGGTTTTCATTATTCAAAGGTCACAGTTCATTTCCCACAGTGTTTTGCTTCAGCTTGACGGTCATTATCAGCCAAATGTTAGTTTCTGGTTTCACAAATAGCATAGCAGATCGCATTGCGGAAGTTCATGGTATGCTGACTGATCGTCTTTTGTCAACTTCTTCGCTTTGTTTTTAGATCTTCATTGACGGTAGAGAAATTCGAGATCTAGATCTGAAGTGGTTTCGATCGCAACTCGGCGTGGTTCAGCAAGAACCTGTACTGTTTGCTGGCACCGTGGCGGAGAACATTTCCATGGGATGTTTGAATGCCAGTCGCCATCAGATTGAAGATGCCGCCAGGCTGGCAAACGCTCACGAATTCATTGTCAAACTACCCGATGTGAGTGGTTCACTGTCATGAAGGGCTTTTAGAGAAAAAAAGAGAAGAAAAGTTATCCATTGTATGGGGTCTTTTGCAAATCGGATTGCTCTCATTCCTCCCCCCAAAGGGAACTGAATGAACTTTTTTGAAGCTGGTACAAAGTTCTCTATCTCGATGTAGTCTACATCCTTCAGCTTCAGGGGTGTGATGGCCCGGTGGTAACGTCACCAAATTATCCCACCGGGAGTGTGTTCGAATCCCACCACCGTCTGACTTTCCCCATTTGTTTGTTGAATGACAGCCCTTTGATTGACCGCTTTCCTCTTCCTGAAAATTATATCTTTGTCTATTCAGTAAAAGGAAGTAAAATGAAAAAAAGTAGGTAACAACATTAAGTGTAGTTTTGATTTTGGTGCATCAGCTGATCTAATTCATTGTGCGGTCAGTCAGACTCAATTGAGCGCATATATCCTTTTTCTGTTTGTGGTTCTTCATTCATAGTATGTCAACTGAAGGCCAGATGGTGTCATTCATATGGAGACCCATGGGTTGTATATGAATATGGCATGATCAGGGATTTTTAAGCGTAATAAACTCATAAAGTCTGGAATAGAATTTTCTGAGATTTCATAAAATGATATAGTAGCTGTCTAATAGCAAAAGAACCTGAACTGATTGATAGAAAGTTTCTCTTAAATGTATCTTTGTATAGGTTTGACAGCACTGCAAGCGGAATGCTCGCTGGAAAGTTTGAGAGTGNCTTGTCTAACCAGATATCAGTTTGTTGCTAGTAGGAACTGTACGGGATGCGTTATGCGGATCATCTCATCTGTCACGTGCATCAACGGTAGACCTTAGCCTGTACCGTAAATTTTAAGCTTATTGACAACGTACTTCAGTTCATGTTCAAGAAGCGCATCACACATCAACGAAAGTGTGACCTTTATTTAAACGAATGGAACATGTGTGAAACAAGTGAAACTTTATTTTTTATGCATTATCTACCCCTCATAATGGTAAATATTGAATTCACTCACCCAAATTGTTAAGGGATACGATACATGGATTGTGGAGGGTGGTGGAAGTATGTCTGGTGGACAGAAACAGCGAATCGCAATTGCTCGTGCATTGGTACGAAATCCAAAAATCATGTTACTGGACGAGGCTACTTCTGCGTTAGACACACGCTCGGAACGGCAAGTGCAAGCAGCGCTGGACAAAGCTTGCTCGGGACGTACAGTGATCATGATAGCTCATCGACTGACCACAGTTCGCGATGCGGATTGTATTCTAGTTATTGAACGTGGCAGAGTTCGTGAGTCGGGAACCCATGAAGAGCTACTCAAAGCGGGTGGTCTGTACGCCACTATGCTGCGTTCGCAGGTACGTTGCCACATTTGCTTGACTACATGTTTTGAGTTTTTTTCTCCAACAAGCTTTAGGAATACCAATGAGTGACTTCGATCTGTGTTAAGTGTTGCCATTAGTGCCAACTGAAACAGAAGCAGATGGTTATTGGTTCAGGGTCAAAAATGAGGAGTTCAGAAACCATCATTTCTCGTTTGCTTTCATCGAGAATCGTTGGGTCTGTCCACATCTCGACACTCACGTAACGACCCGTGTAATGCGAGTCTGTAAACACTATCCTACCGAGAACAGTGGTATCTGTGATTTCTCATAAAATCAGACGACTGGCTTGTATTTCTCCGAACGATCGCCAATGGTGAAGGGTAATATATTTTTGAGCCATCACATTTAGAGATTCACTACTAAACTCTGATTGTTGTAAAATATTGTAATTACACACTGATTGTGCTTGATGTTATTAAACCGCGCTTAAAATACGACGTTGAACTCATACAACTCAGACTTCAACGGAATCAACTTCTTGTGGATTATTATGCTGCTGTTAGTAATTCATCGAAAGTATATTAAATATAGGCGAACTCACGAAAACACAAGTCATTTTTTCCGACCGATACCAGTATCACACTAAACAGTAACTAAACCGTGGATCGGTAATTAAATTGTGCTTCGGTGTAAAAGATTTGCCTTACTTGTCTGACTGACTGACTGACTGACTGACTGACTGACTGACTGACTGACTGACTGATCGAATAACCAAACTACCGATTATCTTTGCACAAAATTGTACTGTCGAGTAATCCTCATCGGTTTTACGTTGACGTCTTTGAAATTCATCTATTGCTTTCCACTGTGTAACTATTTGTCTCAAAATTGATCTACATATGTTTCAATTTATTCCATAAAAATTCGCTTCTGATTTATTTTATTGTGAATCTTTCACATGAGACAGGGAGCCAATTTAATCCTTTGTCATTCCCTTCACAGGGAAAACAACCTGAAGATCAAGAGGATGATGATGATGAGCAGGAACATGAAAATGCACCGAAGGATTACTTTATAACTCCAGAAGTATGTTTTGCTCGTATTTCAACTGGTTTTTGATCCCACATGCACTATGATGAATGAGTTCGTAATCTGTATCTAATTGTATGCACGTGACAAAACCAAGGCGAACCCCGTTTTGGAGTCTGAACACTGTTTGGAATTGCTGCATTCATGAAAATCGGTGATTACTTCTATTCTTTTGTTTCTTCCTGCTTTGTTTATTTCAGCAAAAAGAAACAATGCAGAGAAAATCCCTGTCCAAGCAGGTAAGTCAGTCATCGTCACTGAGCTCCCCATCGGTAGCCAAAGCGAGGGGATAAATGTTTGGCCTGATGCATGCACTCTTCATATAGGTTGGTCTAATCTAATTGAATAACTGCTTTTTCCATTTTCGGGTATACTTTCAGTGGGCCATACAGTTCACCGGATTATTTGAGCTGATTTGCTCTAGACATAAATAGACTGTTTTCCAATGGTGAATCAAATGATAGACGTACGACTTCACACTCAAAACAGATTGTGAATTAAAACCCACCTGTTCGGCAAACCAGGAATACGAGTTCTCATCTGACATTCAATCACGATCAGTTTTGTGTTTGATCTGAAAACGAGTTTCAGCTCCACAGCAATCTTTCTGTGAGTGGTAATCTGTCGTAAATCACATTGTTACGGAAAATTACAAGCGTGCTCCGTGCTTGTCCGTCGTAGCTCCATATCTTACTAGAATAGAACGGAATATGTACTCTTCGTTCTAGTGTGGTTCATTATTTTGATATATTACGGATTATTACAAGTGAGTTTCTTAGTACATATTCGACAAGAAACATTGTTATACTTCTATGTATTTCACACCTCAAATCAAGTGAATGCATTTTCCTTGGTTTTGGATATAAATGAAATCCGGATAAAAAACAGTCTTAGAGGGTGGCAAAAGTTTCACTCTATCTACTTTTATTAAATTTGTTGTTCAGACGAAGATGAGATCCGCCAAAGCGCAGTTGGATTTGCATACGCGCAGTGTACACAACCCTCCTCTAGTCAGTATTGACCGAAAGTTGTATATGAGGTACCACTTTCGGGGCCGAATAATTTGACGACTAGTTTGATCCATCACAAAAGATTTCCCTCCATTACTCAGTGACTGAAATGAAACCGAGCCTCACCTCGTTCCACCAAACAGTTATGAAATAGAACTTTTCGCCTTAACCATTCATCGATGCCATTGGACTGACTGATTGAACCGCTTGATCGCACTCTGTGCCCACATGATGGATACATTATTCTTTATCAAAGATCTTATCAATCTGGGAGACAGCTAAAACGCCTATTTCTACTTCGAATCCCCATTACGACGTTTTCTTTACTGATCTATTTCCAGGACGATTTTGAAGGATCCGTTGTCAGTGTGGTTTCCTCTGTACCGACATATGTTAGCCAAAACGACGTTGAGGTAAGTCAAATATTTTCCTCTTTGAGCTGAGATCCGTGTGTTCAAAAACTGACATCTTTGTACCTGAGTGACGGGCCAAATTTTACATAGACCGTGTTCTTTTCCAATTACACCTTTTCGTGCATCGCCGACGAATTGTATTTTGTGATACACCATTCAAGTAACCTCTACGGTAGCGTGCAGTTTATGTAAAAACGTGGAACCATCAAAGTTCGGAATTTTTCTCACCCCGAAGACTAATGCTAATTTAAACCATATTTGATACTCGCGCTTTGATTGTAAAGATTTATTAAGATTTCTCGTGTATTTACAACATGGAAAAGGCTGTCACATAAGGGTTGTAGATGCGTGCTACCTGAAACGTCCCTGGTTTGACCGTCAGATCCACATTGTTGGTATTGCAGAAGTGCTGAATGTCCGGTTGAGAAATAGTACCTTTGAGTGTGTGTTGTTCTACCCCCTTCGCTTTTGTTTAACTCTTCGTTCGTTTGTCCATATTTAGTATAAAGGAATGTATTCGATGAAACGGATGATGAAGTACAGTAAACCGGAATGTGGTTTTACAATCGGGGGATGCATTGGTGCTGTAATGGCAGCGTTGGTCAATCCGGGATTCGTTCTACTTTATGCAGAAATATTCAATGTGAGTAAAAACTTTATCCACCGAACTGAAGGATGGAAATTTGTTATCATTCACTGATGATCACTGATATACTTTTGGGTGCTTTAATTGAACTTTTCACCGAGAATAGGATCAATTTTATACAGGCTAATCTACATGGCACGATATTTATGATTGGGCACTACCTCCTCTCTCCCCACGAAAATATGCTTTAAAGTTAAAGCATAATATTTGTCGTCATTTGTTATTGTATACGTGCTACCAGTTACAAAAGACTCACCCAGTTTAGTTAAAGAAGTAAATAACCTGCGAAAAATTACCGATTTCAGCTTTTTCCATACTGAAAAAGGAAGATAAATGTTAGGCTATGAAAATGGATTGCTGACTGTTCAGACATTGGGAACCGCATGCTCACTTTTCGAGATATCAGTCATTACAATTTCAATGATACTGGCGCCATTGTAATTCAAGCCTCCATAATGCTCAGTAACGGTAAATCATAAAGTGTGACAAAATTTCGAAGGAAAATCTGTTGATGCACGTGCAAATAATTATCACAAGAGATAAAAATTATAAATCTGTAGATTTATGTAAACTTATTATCCTTCCACAACTGCCATGTTTCATTTTTGAATCGGAACTAAATTATCTAATCACCCTCATTCCTCCAGGATCAGTTTTGTCGATCAGTGGTAAACTTTACACTGCTTAACCAACCTTAAGCTTCGCAAAAAACAATGAATGTGTTTAGTAATAGCACCAAATAAAAACCGACTTCAGAAAATTACCTGTTCTAGCTAGTTCATCAAGTCACCGAAATGATGCTACATAGTTTCGGAAGTGAAAGCTGCCTGTTTTCTCGTGAATTTATGTCTTCTAAAATGCCTAAGCAACATGCTTCCTTTTATTTGAGTAAACAATATCCGCATAAGATCGTGACTCTTGAAATCCACCATCTTTGGTCAAAAGCTACCTTATTTTTCCGCATATGGTAGAAAGCACGGTAAACTTAAGCACTTAACATCGTCGCATTTTATCTCGCGTCCTGATCAATCACATATTACAATTTTGGTGGTCGCCCACGAAATTGCACACAGCTTCTAAGACAAAAAGGGAGTGTTCCTCTGTTTAGAAAAATTTCATAGCTATAATAAACAGTTGGGAAAAAATAAGATTGTTTCAGGTTGTACGGTTGCTCTTCGTTGCAACCCTCCGAACAAAATAAGTGTTTCTACATCTCTCAGTACTAATGGTGAGTCAGTTCCCAACAGATCAAACTGTAAATTGGCCTATGTTTGATCGATTTCCATGAAAAACCGTGTGAATTAGGGTAAAAGAATGCTGTTCACACAACGGGATATGAAATGCTAAGTTACCAATCGGTGGCTCTCCTATTTCCCAAAGAGATCGAGGATCGGTTGATCGAAAGAGTGGAAGTAATGTCATTGCACAAATTCATGTGCGAATTTGACCACAGTAGCTTTTCAGTGTTCATTAAATGGTGTCGAGTGCTTTACTGTGCCATATCATTCCAGAATGTTTCATCTTAATAGCTCACTTTTGTGTAGTCCGTTTCAATCGACTGTTCGACGATACGTTATTCTTTTATTCAGTTACATCTATCAACTTGTTAGAAGGAGCTCTGAATATCATCGTTGAGGATCTTAACTCCACTATCACTATCACTATTATGGTTCTATATCAGTACTAGATAGAGTGATCACCGGTTACTCAAACCTTTTTCTTTAACCCTCTCTACCACTAAATATTCACGATGATAGATTTCTTTATTTTTCCCTTAAATTTGGCTTTGCAACTTTTTACCTAAGAATAATTTGTCCACCAATGAGTCAGTACAGAAGAGTTAGGGGTGTGAAGTGCATTTCACTTTAGTTGCTCAACAACACCATCTGAAGTTAATACATTCAGGTCCTTGCTAGATGGAATTGACCCAACCGGGGAAGGAAAGTAAAAGATTAACTGTTATGGTAAGCGCAGCGTATTTGGTACAACATTTAGGCACAGATAAATGATTTGCATTCACAGACCGACATTGCTTCGATTCATTGCAACAACCTCGAGTCATAGCTATGTGACAATATTCTGCAGGCTAAAGTCCGGTCGGCTCTACGTCTGATTCCAGTTTAGAATTCCTGCACTCGATAACTCTGGATTTCTCAATCTGGTGTATTTTTTACACCCATTATTCCAATCACCTGAAAGTTTTTCAACAGCATTATCAAAATTATCCGGTTCATTTTTCCAATAAAAATTGCACCGTAGCTACCGGTGAACAAGTACACTATACATGAGGTAAGAGGCGACAGGTGATTAGATTCCCGGGTATATAGAACAACACCTTCTTCTTCATGTATTTTTTATTCACACGAATTAATTATTTTCTCGAACATTATATTGAAATAAATAACCTACTATCTTCAGTACAAAGTTAGCATATATCAAGGGGCACGATAACCACTTTTCCATTTCAATGGTTCAAAGAAAATGAACAATCAATGAACCAATTCAATGAACCAATCCGATAATGTGTGAGCTCTCAAGAATTCATCCCAAAACTGTTTGAATGTTTCATTTTCTTTACCGCAATTAGGGCACCGTGTGAAACACACGCCTTTGCAATGTTTGCAGCCTACTTTAAACTATAAATATTGAAACCAAGCAAATGTGACAAAGATGATCTCCATTATTTTTGTTTGGCGGGTAGTCTACCTTTGTGCTTTCAACGCTAAACTTCCAGAATTATGTTACTAGACTCTCTGCAGGAGCGAAAAACCGATCAAGTTACTTTACGTTCCTCTAATTCAGCTGTTTACAGATCCGAGTATAACACCACGTGACCTGTTGAAAAAATCGGAGTTCTTTGCTGGCATGATGGTCGTCCTCGCTTTGGGCTACATGATTGGGATGGCGATGGAGGTGAGTGAAAAAACGTCTGGAAATTTTCGGTACCATCAATCTTAGCCTCAAAATCGTTAGATAAACCAGACAAAGATCAATGTCATCAAACTGCATCAGTCCAAATCCACCATCGGTTCGATGGGCAAAAAATCCTGTAACAGACCATTTCACCCGAAAAAAAAAGAAATGTCTCGGTAAATGTATATGTTTGACAGAAATAGTCATACTATAGCTTTTTACATATATGAGGAGCTTTGGTGGGGTTCGAAACCGGGTAATGACACACACACACCACAATTTTACGGCATACGCTCAACAAGCTGAGTCACTTCGATAGCTCTGATCTTTCCAGCCTTGGTTGGCGACAGTATGTGGAGTCAAATTTCATTATAACCACTGATCCTATCAAAACTAAACTATTTTATAGCAAACCGATATCACGAGATTGAACCTAGTATCCGATCGTGTTTGTTTGTACAGTTTGTCATAACTTTATTGTCTAACCACAAAGGTTTGTTTGCAACTTATCTACCCCGAGACAAACCATTTAAACTCCTGAATACTGCATGGCACATCCTGTAATAAGTGGTATTGATAGGAGGTCAGCGGGAGCGGTATTAGTACACCTTTTCCCATCAAGCTTTAGCCAAAACCCGCAAACCTTTAGCCTCGACCCGCAATCCTTTAGCCAAAACCCGCAATCCTTTAGTCTTGACCTACATTCCTTTAGCCAAAACCCGCAAT